GTTCCATGCTCTGTAATGTCTATCTAATAATAGATAGGTCTATCCATAGTTTTAATAGTAAGCAGGCCGTAACGTTTGTCTCTCACAAATTACGTCAATCTTTCAAAATCAATAAGTGTTTGTAGCTAATGTAAGCGCTTAACGAGCCGCGAGCGGGACTCCTGAGCGGATCAGCAAATGGAGTGCTTCATGCATAATGTAGCGCAGGCTGAGTGTTGTTTTGAAAAGCATTCTGAATTTGTTATTTTCGTCACACCAGGTGATGCCCAGGTACCTCATGAAACATTTAACAATAGGTATCAATGACATAATATTCCACATGTGAAAATAAAATAACAATTGCCTACGTCGCTATCATTCCTAACAATGTCGTTACTTGCTTGAAACGGTAGCGCAATGCGAAAAGGCTCGGGAAATCATCTCTCATCATAAAGCAAAATTTCTATATCCTTACATAACTTTATTAAATGATAACAGGAGATAACCGGCACCTCAGAATTAATTAATCCACTCAGAGATTGCATCTAAAAGCCCCGCTGCCCCCGCGCACCCCATCCCGCGCGGGCGCTGGGTCGATCCGTTTCCAGCCACTTAAACTTCACGCGGCGCGCTCTAGCTTCCGTTTTAATTACAAAATTAATTCAAAATGTAATTAAAGTTAACAATAAGGCAGCAAACAATTGAAGTTATTTATGTTAGTTTATGCTTTATGGCGAGTACTGCCTGGTTGGAAATACGATTTGCTCGAAAGCGGAGTGAAATATGCCTTATATACCTTAATACATAGGGATATTTAGGCCATATTTCAGCTTATTTATAGTTCAATATTCAAGTTTAACTATATGGGACCAAAACAAAAATACCTACTAATAAAGGGCACGCTGATATTGCATGTTGGACGTCAGATCTTTATGCTATAAAGGTCAATATTTGAAGCCTCTCATATCAAGCAAGACATTGTAACACGAACATCTATTGTATATTATTTTGTTGAATATTCTATTTTTTATAAAGGCAGATACCTACTATATATAATTGGAATAGAAAAAAAGCTGACCACTTACTTACCTGTTGATACGTGGTATCCGTCGTACGTTGCCTGTTTACATGAACAGCACCACGGTCATCGCTTCATTATGTGACGACTCGTGCTTTATTACCATTCCGGAGGAATAGGCTGTCATGCCTCCGTACCCCGTAGTTTCTCTTTAGTGTCCCTTTAACTGCTCAAATACAATGATTACATTTTGGAATTTGCTCTTATGCATGCATATAACACTTAAATAATGTAGCTATAATTATAAGTATATTTTTTTATTTAAATTTGGTTTTATTCTAGACATATAAAACTCCCTCTAGATTCACTCTATCTATTAAAAAAAACCACTTCAAAATTCGTTGCATAGTTTTAAAGATTTAAGCATACATAGGGACGGACGGACAGCGACCGCCACTATGTAATGATGTAAAAAATTGAAACTGTTGATCCGACTTTGAAGTCGGATCAACAGTTTCAATTTTTTAATTTAAGTTTTAAAGAAGATGGTATTCACGAGGCTCGGATATCCTTACACGCAATGTTTATTAGAAAGAAAGTCAGTAGGACTGTGGACAGAGAACCTCTGTTCATCCACTCAACATCGCTATACCGGCAATAAAGCTCCGTTGAAAAGCACTTAACGGGATTGATTCAAACCATTTACCATTCTTTAAACAAACACAACCTTTCCATTATGGTAAATTATAAAACCTTTTAGCAAATCGAAATCGAAGGAAAGGAGTCCCTGTAACGAGATCGGGTAAGTACCTACGTATTTATGATTTATCTCAATATCATCATTGTAACAAACCTACTTGTACAAGATCACATTGCTATACATATTCTCTCATCGGTTTATCTAAAACAAGGACTCCATCCTTTATGTATAGGTTTGACAAAGGAATATGTCTTTTTTCTTAACATTTCCTAATTTATTTTTTAAGAGCATCATGCCCTATGTAATGGTTTACTAGCTAACTTTGGGGTCTACATAAAGGTCGTAAGTTCATATGTGACTGACATGAGAAATCTTTTAGCATCAATTTATATTTCTGACTGACTTTCCGGTGATAGGTTTTGGTACATCGAATTTAAATACCGAACCGTGGGCAAGTCAATTGTAACGTATATAACGACGTCGATTCCCGACCAATTCTCTGACCAACTGGCATATTATTACATCGTAAAGACATAATATTTTTACAATTATTTACTTTATACAAATTTAAACACATTTTGCTATGCGGAATTGCCATAAACAGCATTAATATAGACAATAAGACACCCCTTTGTCTACCAATTTATTTGTTTATTTAAAGCTTTTTATAGAAAAATTCCTAAAATATTTTGTAAAAAGCAGACGGCCCATCTGATAGTAGCAAAGCGGTAACCGTTTCTTATATACTCATATTACAATGTCATGTGACATCCATGAAGTCACTAGCTACTCGACAATTTTTCGAAATATATTTTATAATTTTTGTAGACTTATTTAAAACCCCCTACAATTATCTAATTTTCAAAATAAGCTTTATTTGATAGAGAAAACATGAATGTATTTCTCTTGGTTTCAAATTCGCGTTAAAACACTATGTCACGTGACATTTCCGAGCTATGACGTCATATTTCAATAAACGAAACAAGGCTAATACGGCGTGTAATAGGCGAATAGGTTTTGAGTGATAAGTTTACAGATTTTATTGGAATTGTAAAAATGTCAAGCTACAAAACTTGTGCGGTGCCTATGTGTCGAAGTACGACAATTAAATGTCCCAACAAATTGTTTATACACGTTCCTAAATGCTCAAAACGACGAAAAAAAAAAATTGGCACGCCGAGACCTACAGTTTACGTCTGATAGGTATGTCTGCGATATTCTTATGTGAGCATCACTTTGATGTAAGTATTTAGAAGAAATCAATATGTTTGATTTTCCAAAAAATAAATGAAACCTAACCTAACTTCTTAAACTATAGAATAAACAAACCTAATTTCTACCTAATGATACTGTGTTTTTATTTATAACTACCTATAGATATGGAAAATTACATTTAATACAGTATATCCTTGACTATGCTGATGTCTCCTATCCAGACCTAAATTCCGATTTACTCAATAAATTAGAACGTCTCCAAAACCTATGTATCCGGTTTATTTTCGGCCTGCGCAAATTTAATCATGTATCACAATATCGTACACAACTTAAGTGGCTTCCTATACGACAACGAAGAGATTTGCATACCCTTACATTCCTTTACAACATCCTTTTTAGAGCTCCGTCCTATCTCAAAGAACGTTTCAAGTTCTCCTCTTCTACTCACTCTTTATCCTTACGTTCTTCTGAAAATCTCTTACTTTCCACTCCTTCACATTCCAATAAACTCTATCACAATTCCTTTACTGTAACTGGTATCAAGTTATGGAACTCGTTACCTGTAACTATCAGAACTGCAAAGTCCATTCATATTTTTAAACGACTAGTAAGACTTCCGCCTCAATATTTAGATTTCATTCAGTATGGCATTTTGATTTATATTTAGTTTATTTTATTTTACTTTAAAATTATGTATATAGTTCATGAAAGTGTATCTAGTTTATTACATATATAATTATTATTGTTTACATAAATTTTAGGTTCGTATTATACTTATTATTATTTTCCATCATCAATATATGTTTGTTATTTTTTAGTTTTCTCCTATATGTATATTATTCTACCTGTTCATTTCTCAATCCGTTTCCCTAAGGTTGCCTTGAAAAGATTGATTTCAGCAATAAGGCCGCCTTATTGTAACTATACATGTCCTTTAATATATTGTTTATGCCTTTTCTTTACTGTGTGTTACAAATAAAGTATATTCTATCTATATATAATTGGTTCTATTGGTAAAATAAACATTAAATAATAAAAGCAGCAGAAAAATCAGAAAGGCAAAGAGATTTGCGATCATAAACGAATCTATTCTGGGCAGATTTGCATTATACGCTTTAATATAGCTTAACTCCATTTCGTAAAACTTTAAACAACTTTACTTAACAATGTTTTGTTTATTGAATTATGACGTCATACGATGATCTATCATGGCCGCTCCATGTCAACCACAGATAAAAAAAACTCAGATTTATTTTCCAAAAATAAAATATAGATAATGTTTTTTAATGCAAAAAACATATTGTATTATTACTGTTTACTAAAAAGCTACCATAAAAAATACTTTTCATATTTTATTTCTACAACTGTCAAATAGCCAAATTATGTTTCTAGTACTGTAATTTAAATACCTGTTCGTAGTGTACAACATTTGCACATATAAGCACACATTATATGTAGGTACATATTAACTTTTAATGACATTCATTAAATCATTATCATCATCGGATAGTACATTTATGAGAACGAAATACATTTATATATAATATTTATGTTCAGAATTATAATCCCTGTGATTATAATATAACATCTTCTAATATTAGAGTAATGCAAATGCAAATAATAGTATAACGACGCCCTCTGTATTTCGATCGGTAAACTTAAATAAAAACGTAATCATTTGTTATGCGAATAGTGTTATAGAATTATTTTACGAAGATTTTGGTTTAAATGTATCAGCGAATAATTTCATTAAAAGTAAATATTCACATTACAATAATACATTAAAATATTATATACTATGGTTTGCTATAAATAAATTGTAACACACACCGACGAAAGTTCTCTGTGGTAGCCACTTGCTACAATTTGAGGAAGTAAAGCAAAGCAAAAAAATATGTATCTGCGCAACAATCCCCTATCGTGTCTGTAAAGAGTATAGATGGCTCTTTAAATAATTTTATTGATATTATACCCCAATTCAATCTGTCAGTCTGGCTGTCCATTATTAAAATTTGCGTCATTCATTCACTTCAGACGTTCAGTACTTCAGTCTTCTGTACAGAAACTGTCAGTCAGTATATCGTTACAATACATATATTAGTGTTCATAATTTTTGCTTCAAAGTAGCAATAACATAAAGTACGATTTATAATTATTAGTAATATTAATTTTTGCATTGTTATATTTTATTGATTATTGTATTTTATTTCGTCATACGTGCACATTTACAACGACAAACTGCGTATTAAATTAATAATACAAACATATTATGCCTACTACACGTAAAAAAATTATTAAAACTGTTTATAAAAATGAAAACAGCGAAGAAGAATCTGATTGTTTTAGCGATTCTGGATCCGAAGCAAAAATATCAGACGTAGAATCCAGTACGGATGAAGAACTAAAGCATGCTGTGTCTTCAGGCGATGAGTTCAAAAATGAGAAAACAAAAAATAATAAAGCAAAACCTGGAAATAAACGTAAAAAGCCAAAACCGTTGCTCAATAAATTGAAATCTGAAATACCTGCTTGTAACAAAAATGAATATACAGATGGTTCAAGTTCTCAATTTTCAATTAAAGATCTAACAGACGCTGATAAGCTTTTACCGCCGGTACTTAATTTATCTGAAAGTGGTGAGTTATATATTTAAAAAATGTAATACTATTATTTATACCAGTTGAGCGTATGCTGTGATATTTGAAGATGGAAGGTTTTTACAATAGTAGTGAAAACAGCGCTATCAGATGTTTTTAACATTTAAGTAATGATTTCCAAATAGTAATTAAAATAGGTGTTCATACACTATATCTGTATTTTTAATAGTTATGTAAAATCTAATTTATTTAAGAATACTTCTCATCAGAGGTAGATTTAATATCAGGTCATCTACATAACTATCTATCCCCTATTTCAGTTATGAAGGAGCTTGCTTTGTAGTCTCTGTTTTGGTTGTAAGGTGATGATATATTGTTCACATCATAGGATATGGTGGTGGTCATTCCATTATTCCTAATTTAATTTAAATATGTTTCTGTTTTTCGTAATTGTATACAAGCTCGTTTGAAACAAATAAGAACTAAATCTTAACTCTTAAAAGTTGTCCTTAGCTTGAAAGCTCTCCAAATTTATGGTATACTAGCCAGGCCTGCAGTTTCACCGGTGTTAAATTTAAATAAAAAATATAGTCTATATGTTATTTTGATGCACAAGCTATTTTACTGTAAAGTCCGTTCAGTAGTTTTTGCATGAGAGAGTTTCAAACGTCAACATTTTTGTGTTTATAATATTATTATATTATATATAAATAAATATATAAAATATATATATTATTAAGATTTGACTTCTTATAAGTGTCTGGAATAGACCTGACCTACATGAATAAAGATATTTTAACTTGATTTGATTTGTAGAGCTCTTTGTGATTATAGATCACTATATACTGTCGGGTGGACTGTCAGCTTGTTTGCCAATCTTATTATATGAAAAAAATTATTGCTAGACCTTTGAAAAAAGTGATGTGCTATATGCACATCACTTTTTCAAACTACTAGCTGTTATGACTTTGTCTGTCTTTTTAGTAGTCTATATTATTCCTATTACATAGTCCCCGCAGCAAGTTTCATTAAGATCTATTAAGGTGTTTATTTGTAAAAGTTTATCTAACAGACACATTTTCCTGTTTATAATATTAGTATTTAACAAGACTAATTTTTATTATTACAGATAGTAGTGAAGATGAATCGCCAGAAGAAAAGAAATGTGTACATACAACTATCAATGTACAGGATCACAACATGGATTCTGATGATGATAATGAATCTAATAATGAATATAAAGATGTCTGTGTAATTTATTATTAAAAAATAATTTATTGTTGACACTTGCTATTACAATTTTAATACTAAGGCATCATTAAATTGTTACAAATTGTAATTGTAATATTGTATAAAAATACATCCTTATCCTTTTTGATATGTCAATCCAAATAGGATGATAATATCATTTTGTTTGAGATATAGAATATTTCATATTGAAAAATGCACTTATTGAATCAATTTTACATTGATAAACTGAAATTAAGTGTTCAGTAAGTTTGACATTTTAATTTTACAGGTTTGGACAAAGAATATCCAAAATGAAAGTGAAGAAATTGCAAAGAGGAAATTCTTTGAATTGGAACAACATAAAACAAAGTTAGAAGAAACTAAATCTTCTATTAAGAAGTATTCCGCTAAAGTAGAGAAGGAAAATGAAGAATCAAATGTAAAGGACTTGTTAGCTTTAGGTGAAGAAGTCTTACCACTGTCTACAGCAATAAAACAGAAAGCTAAATCAAAAAGAGCCAGAAAGGACAGTGATTCTGATATGGAAGAATGGGAAGAGGTTAAAGGTACTTTTTCAACTTTTTGTTATAAATTTATCACATATGTATGCAAAGCTTGATAAATTTAGATCCATCAGAGTTGTGTTTCACTCCAATTAAAGTTTGTAAATAATATATATTATGTACTTATAGTGATAACTGATAGCTCAGTTTATATTTATTTTAAAAAGATTAATTTCAATGTAATAATTTATTGTTTAATTCATGTGTAATCATTTCAGAAGGTACAGTAATACCTCAGCAAGGTTTACAACTTATTGTTGATTTTCCTGAAGCTCTTTGTAGAAAAACAAAAAAATTAGATGTAGAAATGATGATGAAACGTAAAATGAACAGAGTAAAAAAAGAATATCAGATATACATGCACAAGGTACATGTTCTGTGCTGGTTAGGTCATGGAAATTATGTTAGTCGTATTTTAAATGACATGGATGTACTAGGAGCTGCATTGAAAATGGTTCCAGCTAAAGAATGCTACCCAGGAGAACGAGTAGACATGAAGTACTTAGAACAAATAACAACTTGGTATAAAGATAAGTTATTATTAAAACAAGATAAAAATGAAAGTAAATTTAGACCTAAAGCACCACCACTTAAAGATATATTGTTGGGACAAATCAAAAGTAGGGCTGCTACTACAAAAAAATATATAGTATTTATATTTGTGTCAATGTTAAGAGCACTTGGATTACAATGTCGTATAATGTTTAATTTTGTTACATTACCAATTAGACCACCAAGTTCAGAATTGTGTTCTCTATCTACAAAACTAACAAATCGAAATACAGCTGATAAATCTGATGCTAGTAAATCTAGCTGTAACAAAAAAAATGAAAACAAATCTAACAAAGGAAAATCTAGTAAAATATCACAACTTGATGGTAATGATGATAACATATTTTGTCATAATTTTAATTATAAGAATATCTATCAATTAGACGGAAGTGATGATACTCTTACTGTTACAACTAGAAAAACTAGATCTAAAGCTAAGAGTACAGTCAATGATGATGATATTAGTAGAGGAGATGTATCTCCATCAAAAATATCAAGAAAGAATCCAAGCCCTAAGCCAAAAAAAATTTCCCCCAAAACGAAAGATAACTTAAATAAGCAGACCACTGCTTTGAATAAATCAGTTAAAAGTGGCATAGGTGAATTATCGCCAAAAAAATCTACAATTAATGGTAACCAATCAGTTAACAAAAGTACTAGTAATAATTCAACGTCTCGTAGAAGAGTAGTCAATAAAAATAGTACACATAAAAAGGCATCCTTATCAGTGAATAATACAGCTACACCTAAAGAACCAGCAATTGTTATTACACATGAAACTGAGAATGTATCAAGTGAATATTTTGATAATAAAAACTTAAAGCATAGTAACAATCTAAAGAATCCTAGAAAAAGATCCCAAACCACTAACCCTAGTTTGCAAAAATATGCGGAAACGAAGAGTACAGTTAATGTCATTAAAACCAAAAAAAGAACAAAAAGTGCTCCAAATGGAACAGAAACAAGTAAATATTTTAGTGATAGTGATCACAAAGATCAAATTAAAAAACGAAAAGTAAAATTAAGCTTAAAAGCTGAAGACAGAATATTGGAAGACAAAAGACGTGTGAGTCACAGAGATATTGTCAAATCTAAAACTAATTCTTCCGTGAATAATGTATCTGGCGATTTGGTAAAGATTATTAAAGGTCGGGTCAAAGAGGCCAAAGAGGATACAAAACGGCGTATTGTTCAAGGTTTGTGTAACGTGAATTGTCAATTATAATATATGAATTGTCAATTTTTTGATCTATTTCGGTAAATTATCATGTATCTATTTATATTTATAGGTAAAGTTAAAAAAGATTCCGAATCAGATAGTGATTTCTTACCAGAAGAGAATTATAAACGGGAATCTGTAAGTGATGAAGATTTCAAAACCTCTAAAATTAGTCCGAAACCAAGTACGAGTCGTAAATCAAGCACAGGTCGTAAAATAGATCGTCGTGTAGTATCGTCTGATGATGAAACATCACATAAAAAAGTTGATGTATGGTGTGAAGTATTTGTTGAGGAACTTGAGCAGTGGGTTGGTGTTGATGTTATTACAGGAAAAATTCATTGTACTGATTATATTTATGTAAGTATCTTTCTACCTAACAAATACAGACACTATGCTACAATTTTTGATACATTTATGAGACTATGTGCTAATTTACCTGACATTGAATAATGTAACAGAAAATAACAGTTGAAGTGACAAGATAATGCACAAAACTCTTGAAATTGTTTCTGTGTTACACTAATTTATAAGTATGAATTTGCTGATATCAATATATATTGATACATGATATTATATATACCTACATACATGTAATTATCAACTAACATAGACAAATGTTTTGTTCCTAAAAGTGTAAAGTTACTTATGTGGACTAATCTCCTATACAACCTTGTGCATATCCCTACCTAATGAATTCAAACTAAGAGAAATAGGAATATTTAAATAGTTAAATGTTACAATTTAGGGTCGGGCTACTCATCCTGTATGCTATGTTGTTGGTTGGGATAACAACAATTATCTAAAGGATGTGACCCGTCGCTACGTGCCACACTGGAATACAATTACAAGAAAACAGCGTGCAGAGCTAGGTTGGTGGAACAAAGCAATAAAGCCTTGGTTAGGTCCTAAAACTGCCAGGGATAGAGAGGAAGACCAAGCCTTGGATAGAATGCAATTGGAAGCTCCATTGCCTAAAAGTGTTGCAGAGTTAGTACCACATAATCTTTCTTGCTTATTTAAAGTAATATCTTGATGAATTCCCGTTATAATTTACAAAACTAGTCTCTCCTAAATCCTAATGTATGCTTACTTTAACCTATTAAATACGGCACTGCGTGCATGACCTGTCATCTTTATGAGTAAAATTATTTTAAAATAACATTTATTTATTGAAATGCTCTTAAAACTGGTGTTGCTTTTAAGGATGGGTCTGCTCTCTGATAACTAATTTGTTCCTGAAGTCTGATTAATCAGAGTTTAAAAGATTGATAATACAAACGGAATATATTAACTTGTAAAATACTACATTTCTTTACAACATTACAGCAAAATTTCTTGTCTTTTGTGCAAAAAACTTGTGTTTCCTTGCTTATTTTCTAATAGAATAATATAAAAATATTTATTCAAAAGTTCTTATATTATGTTTATTCCAATATACATGTTTCTATTTTAAACTTTACCGATAATAATTTCAGATACAAAAATCACCCATTATACGCTTTAAAACGTCATTTATTGAAATTCGAAGCTATATATCCACCGGACGCAGCGACGCTAGGCTTCGTGCGACAAGAACCGGTGTATGCCAGAGAATGTGTTTATGTTTGCCATTCTCGAGATACATGGCTGAAAGAGGCGAAGGTGGTGCGTTTGGGTGAAAAGCCATACAAAGTGGTTAAAGCAAGACCCAAATGGGATAGGGTAAACTATATATTATTGATTACTTTTACTATATAATATTTTAACTATATAATATTGTACATTAATTGATATTTCGTCATTTGAACAAGTGTTATTATTTTAATTATTTCACGACGGCCTCTGTGGTATAGTGGTTTTGCACACCTCTTTCCTTTAATGATCGCGGGATCGATTTCTCACACAGTGCAAACATTTGTATTCATGAGTATGTTTGTTTGTATCGGTCCTGGTATTTTCTATGTATTTACAAAAAAAACTAAGTATTTATATCAGCTGTCTAATATCCATAACACAAGCTGTTTACGTGGGAGTAGATGGCGCTGTGTTAATTATCCAGGGTTATTATTTATCTGTTATTATTATTTATTTCAGCTTTCCAACAAAATAATAACTGACAGACCCCTTGAAATATTTGGACCATGGCAAGTGAAAGATTATGAGCCTCCGGTAGCAGAGAATGGAATAGTTCCTCGTAATGCATATGGAAATGTTGAACTGTTTAAAGATTGCATGCTTCCGAAAGGAACAGTCCATATCAAATGTAAGTAATAAGAAATGTAAAATGAAGTATTTATTTACAATTCTCTATTTCATTATGGTTGATGTATTACTCAAATAAAGTTGTAGGCATAACTAGTTATGAATGAAACTCTCTCAATTCCTGGAATTAAGTAATGAAACTGTTTTTGTCCTCGTGCTAGCAGAATATTATTGTTTATTTTGTAACATTAAAAAAAATAAACAATATTAAGACTCTATACACTAATATAAATAACACTAATGACTCGGCGTTCATATGATTGATTGGCCGTCGTCGCCTATATAAATCTACCTCACGTCACAATAAATTTTAACATTTCTCTTGTTCCTTCCTGATCCCTGAGGACTATTATGTCTTCAAATTCTGTAATTTTACTGTTATGATATACATACACTTAAACCTTGTGGTATGTTCATATTTCTAGTGCCAGGCCTGAACAAAGTGGCCAGGAAATTAAATATAGACTGTGCACTTGCAATGACCGGGTTTGATTTCAATGGAGGCTGGACACACCCCGTTTTTGATGGGTTTGTTGTGTGCAAGGAATACGAGGAAATTATTACGGAAGCTTGGATCAAGGTATGATGATAAGTAATGGAATTATCTATTCATATAAATAAAATTGGAGTGTCTGTTTGTAATATTGATATAACCGTTTTTTTACTACATTCATATGAATATAAATACGATACATACACCATAATAACATTTTTTACAATTTTTGTCTGTCTGTCTGTTTGTTCCGGCTAACTTATTTTAGAAAAATAAAGTTAAATTCCACGCGGATAAAGTCGCGGGAACAGCTAGTATTTTATATATATAAAATATATATATACACCTTCGGTCTTTGGCAACACCGATATGTAATAAAGTTTAAGCTAGCCTATCACGCCATATTTTAACATACTATATACATGACTACTGTGTGAACTTAATTTCAAGGATCAAGAAGAACAACATCGCAGAGAAATAGAAAAAACAGAGGCTAGAGTTTACGGTAATTGGAAACGACTTATAAAAGGATTACTAATACGAGAACGCCTCAAGTACAAATATGGATTTCAAGAGCCAAGTACCAGTTCGAAGCCAGACAATAAGAAAGGAAAAGGGCCTAGACTTGTTGTTAAGAAAAAGCCATAAATCTTATATATTATTGATGTCTATTCCATTTATAATCAAGGAATGAATAATCAGTGAGAACAGTGAATTACCATTGCAGCATGTTTTATCACTTTCATTTAGTTAAGTATTATGTACTTTTACATCATCTATAAATTTTAGTATAATACAATTTACGGGTATTTTGATTTATATATAGGAAGTATCTATGTAAAATCTATTCATCTATATTTGGTTTATTATATAAAACCGTCATACTAAACAGCGCAAGCTTGCCTTGCTGAATTTATAGTTCATTACTTTATAAATAATACTCGCTTTATACTTAAATTCCCATCCGTAGTCTTCTATCTAAATACTACCGAGATTACTTTGTACAAAGTCATTCTGATACCTCTACTCGTTTCAGCTGCTAGACAACTTGTTTTGTAAGATTTCGGGGTTGAAGAGTGTGGTAAATCCGTAAGTAAATTACTACTGGCTACAGAAGTATAACATCATTCTCCAGAATGGCAACATATTAATGTCACATGATGACCCTTTCCGTGATGTTGCTTATATAGGCAGAGGCCACTAATTATCAGGTAGGCCGTAAGCTTGTTTGCCATTGCAGTGAAAAAAAAACTGATAAGCCAGGTAGACATGAATAGACCAACATTTATATTTATTAAATTTATTACAATTAAAATTTGTTGATTGAGAACCTAATTTTAACAGGTTTAAATTAATTGTAAACATGACCGCCTACTAACACTTAAGAATTTAGTCAGATGTAGATATGTGGTACTTTTTGGATTTCCTATTTTCTGTTTAATTAATGTTAATAAACTTTAAACAAATTTTACATCGCATACGCACCTGTCAGTAATACTGTTATTTTATTATGTTATACCTGTTATATTTTGTTAAAAAACGCATGTTCAAAATTGTTTACTTATTTTCAATAAAGAAAAAACAAAATTATTTTACTTTTTTATTGAGTAAGAATGATAAATTATACAATTGTCTTACAATTATTGTCATATGCATTAAGCCGTCTTAATTTAAACATTAAATCTGATTTATTGTTCATGTTATGTAGCAAAAGCTCCAAAAGCGAAATATATACTTAGTTAAAGATTTACACGCACAGTTTAGTGTGCTGGAAGCAATAATATACGACAAAATATCAAAATTTATATGTACAAAAATCTTTGGTGTATAAAAATATGTAAAGCCAGATGAGAAAAATAAAAATCTCAACACAACAACAACTGTGTTGCCGTTTTCTTTTATGATACTGAGCAGTGTGTAATGTAAATTGTCTATGTATATCGTAATGGACTTGTTTATTTTCTTGCCTTTCTGAAATTGTGTGTAAGATACACTGAAATAATGCTAACTATTCTTTAACAAGATTTCATAGTGTAAAATGATTATACTAAATACCGCGTTATAATTAGGCTCAAAATTGGAATATCAATCTGAAACCTAAACCTTACATCATGACTGGCAATTGTTGCTGATACGCTCAAGATAACTTCTTATTTTTCTGATCAGGCTTTAAAGACACTTCAGACCTTGTCATTAAGATCTGGTCGGTCGAAACGATTGCTTATTTGCAATCTTATCCGCGTTTACAGGATAGTTTTGATTCTTAACCCCACAACATCTAAGTGATTTGTGAAGGATAATCACAATGCCATATTTATTTTTATTTATTTTTAATAGTTAATTCGATTTTTTTTTAGTTTTTATTATGTTTAATTTCTTATTTCTACAATAAGTCTATACGCCTTACATTCTACAATATTTTATGACGAATCTATAAACTAAGGGCCCAGACACATTCATCACAATTTGTACATATATGAAAGGAATGTAACCTTTAATTTATATCTTTCTATCATAAAATTATTGCACTTACATAACATCTATTATATATATATACCTACATATTTACTTCATTAGTCTCTTTGGATAAAATCAACCATTATTAAAACCAGTTTAATAAATGGTAAGATCAATAGATGAGGGGTAGCAGCATAATGTAATAGATTAAATTCCTTTCATGCTACCTTTCTATATATTTGTTATTTAAATCCTATAAAGTCCAGCTTCATAGTTTATCTAAGCCATAGTTAATGTGCCTGCGCCCATTCCGAAACCTACACCTTTAGGCCCGAAATTTCTACCGTAACAGCCTCGGCAGTATATTTCACCGTTAGGTCCATCATTTAAATTGGTGGAATCCTGAAACAATTCAATATTAACAAATTATTTAATATGAAACATCGGAATTATATTGTAAAAATATATGATTATTCAAACAGCGTAAATCTTGATGTTTTTGTCTAAATAGTTAATTTATTACTTAATATTAAAATTTACTTCTTTTTTAAATAAGATATTAAAATACATGAAAATCTACCGTTATAATAAGGTTGTATAGGTAAAAGTTCTTTGCTCTATTTAGCAATGTATGAAAATATAAACTAGCATACAAGTCAAAAGATTAGCAGTAATAAAATGTCAACGTCATCAATGTGTCAAATGAATGTCAACGAAATGAACTGTGTCTATTGAATCGATCTAATAAATAAATAATCTCTTCAATTTAAGAAATATAGTTATTGCATATACATTTCCATTTTTGGTGTATATCTTTATTTAATAATAATGTTAATTTGTAATATGTTTTGCTTATCGCTTTTCTTTTACTCAATATTATTCGTGCATAACATAAACGCGGAGTTCTCAACCGAAGACTGTGCATCACTAGGATTTATAAAAGCTAATCTATTATGTTCCTCTTGTGACCAACTCAAGGATTTCAGTTTAGACGATCTAGTAGTACATTGCAAGGAATGCTGCCATAAAGATGAAACCGCACCAAAAGAGAAAAAATACGCGCGTGCCATACTTGAAGTTTGTACCTGCAAATTTCCGGCTTATCCACAAATTCAAGCATTTGTGAAAAGTGATCGACCCGCCAAGTTCCCTAATTTGCAAATTAAGTACGTTCGAGGTCTTGACCCCATTATTAAGTTGCTGGATAAAGATGGTATTGTAAAAGATACTGTGGCAATTGAAAAATGGAATACAGACTCGGTGGAAGAGTTTTTGAAAACACATCTTGATAAAGAAGATGACGACGACCGTCATTACTTAAAGACTAATCAAATCTAGATATTGTGCCTTTATATCTTATTAAATAAATAAGCATAATAATACATTATATTGTTTCATTATAAATTTAATCACTGTGGCTTTGGGTAATGTAAATTGTTACTAAATATATCCTTAGCTGTTTGAACTTGAGGATGAATCATATAAAATATATAAATATGTCAAGTTATGTAAATAGTTAAAAAAGAAACTACTTACAAGAGATCTATGGCAATCCGCACATGAGAAGCACCTTCTGTGCCATGTGCCATTCTTAGAGTGCATCTGTTCTGCAGCATAGACTGGGAATCCGCATCGAGGACAACCATGACCTTTGGCTGCCTTCTGTCCAGTGAAAGGTAGTTGTTCTGTGCTGTAGAATATTAGAAATTATTAGTTGTATTGCATTATAATCTACAAATACATTCTGGCATCATTATTTCTGTGGGCAGAGAAGAATGTGACTCATGGCCTACTTAATTGATTTAAACTTTGAAATCAAGGAAATACAAATTGATTCACATTTTTAAACTAGATCAGACAAGATTATAATTATACAGATAGAAGATTTTTAATTATACAGTTCTTTTTTTAGTGAGATTATAGTTCTTTTTTTTCATGACATTTTAGCTAATTCAAAACTGACATAATTTATTTTCTATCAAGCTTATGGTCATCAGCCATTCATGTGATCACTTACAGCCTATATAGATAGAGTTTAGTGTAGTAGTAAGTGCTGTGATATATAACCAATAAATAATGGCTATATATATATAACCAATAAATAATGTATAGATATATTTAATTTAATTTTATAACTAGAAATTTATGTTATTACTTATTAGTTAACAGTTTCTATATAATTTTTCTTTAAAAATTCTTTTTGAGATCTATAGGTTAATGAACGAAAAATATTATAACTAGTGTATTAAAATATTTCAGAAAAATTATTATTGCCTCTTTGACGGGTATTTACATTTTTTATGTGAAACATTTGTGTGTTACAAACAGACCGTTTTCGGCTCGTCACGAGTTTAGTATTGTACTAGGTATAATACATATGTAACATATCATTATTTTATTAAAAACTTACTATGTAATGGTAGGTTCAGCATCCGTGGACACAAGTGTTGGAGCATGACCGAAGCCAAATCCTTTAGGGCCGAATAATTTGGCGTAGCAAGCACGACAATGGATCTCCCTGTCAGGGCCGTCACACGCCAACATAGAGTCCAGAGGCCTGTGGCACTCGGCACAGTTGAAACATTTCTTGTGCCACATCTGTGGAAATAGAATTAAGTCTATGTGTAATAGCTAAAACTTATTACACTAAAATTTACAAAAAGTAATACTGTGCCACTTACTGTGCCCTTTGCTAATTGTTGTTCCGCGGCAAAGACCATGCCGCCACATCGTGGGCAACCCTGGCCTTTGGGCGCCTTAATAGAGGTAGTGTCAGGATTATAAAACGGACGACTGGCGGAAATCTCGTCCTCACTGCAACATACAATAAAGGCACTATTGATTCATTGATCTAGTCTTTTCGGTTACCTTACATGTGACTAACCTATATCTGTCCCATACTCAGGAATGTACCCAGGTTATATCAATTTTACACGCAATTTAGCACCTACCTAATTAATACAACATAATTTACAATTGAATGAAATATTCAATCTGAAGCATTTGTTATTTCTACCTAAAGGTTCTTATAGAATATATCATATGGCAAAAAGTCTACAAACAGGTACCGTTTGTAGACTTTTACTTACATATGTGCAGTTGCACATAGAGTTTGCCTCGTGGTTGGCTCATTTTAGTCATTCCCGATATCAAGCATTTAATTTTAATACTCACGTTAAACCATCAGTTTGCAGAAATCCTGAGCCGCAGGCAAACCCATAGCCATGGGGTCCCCACTTCTTGCCATAACATGTCTTGCAATAGACATCACTATCTGGGCCATCGCAAGCTATTATCGAGTCCAAAGTTTTGGTGCAATCCCGACATTTGAAACACTTGCGATGCCATTCACGACCCTTCGCCAGGACTTGTTCCGCAGCGAAAACAACGCCACCACAACGTGGGCAGCCCTTGCCGGGTGGAGCCTTGATACTGGCAGTATCAATCACCGTTGTCTTTGGGGCTTGATCACTGTTAAAAATTACCTAATCATTTATCACAGCGATTTTATACTGTAAGTACCTGTATGTTGTTAGTAATTAGTTAAAATTATGACTATGAAGTTGATTTATAACAACCTATAATTAGATAAGTACTGGGAATAAATAGACTGGCCGATGTGATGGAAAATGTAGTAGCCAACTGTTCAGATCGTCGCCGATAATCATGAACAGCTTCATTATATTCAATATTCTTTGATGCTATGTCCATAACAGAATTAAAGAACTCCTATTTTGTTACTTTTAAAACTAAGACATTACGAAGGTGATATGAATTTTCTGTTTAGTTTTCTGAGTAAAAAACTTAACCAGACCAAATAACATATGAGCCAATAAATATAATATGATGAGGTAACCAAGTAGGTATATTTGAACGCATGGCAAAACGCCTTAGTAATTGTAAGTAATGTCAAACAACCTGATAGAATGAAAGATATTGTGCCTTTGTACACTGTAATTTTATTACCTACATCATCAAACCGAAATACAGATTGCATAGCTACTAGTAATACACAGACATATAACGTCTTCTACTCAAGTCCTACATGTTCAATGTAATTATGATTAACAATATTATGAGTAACAAACATAAAAAAATGACTATAACTAAAGATTCTTAAAAGTTACTGTAAGTTACTGTGAACAGGAATACTTTAATGATACTTCTAGGTATTTATGGCGAAATAGAATAATTATGTAATATTAGATGATACACGTAACAGCGCCACTTTCTCTTACATAACACGAGAATAAGGACGAATGACCCATTAAATACGAGTGAATTCGCCGCAGATTACCATGTTGTAAGCTCAAAAGTCGCGTGGCCGATATTAAAATTAGTTTGTTCGTGAGCGCAGAGCGCGTGCTATTTTCACGCTGGCACGTTGCCATCTCTTGTTTGTATTATAAGCTGTTTTTATGAAAGTGACTATGCGATGGAAATAACCTGAACCTGCCTTGTAACCTGAGAAGTTATGAATGTGTCTTGTTAAAAAATATTTTGTAAATCCATTTTAATGTTATATAAATGTTAGGATAGGATAGTCTAGCTACGTCAATCTCTAGATGCATTCTTTAATCTAATGACGAAATGTCAAGGGATCTAACACATTTGCTAAAGCAGTCTATAAGCAAATACATCTTAAATGACTGTTAATAATGAAGATTTATAGTCCTATAGACTACATCCTTTGGGGTCTCGGCAACACACTATCAATATACCTTTGCCACTCCAGGTCCTTTACATCACACATGAGACCCAGGGATGACATCCCTCCGTGTCCGATACCTCTAGGACCAAACTTTATTGCGTAGCATCCTACAGCAAAAGCAAATAAGCGATATTACTATTTACACCTGAGGAGCACACAGCGTAATTCAATAATTATCTATTAAGTACAGAACTGTAGTAAAAAAATTTATTTAAAATAAACTGTGCCCTCGCCAGATGAGTGGAATTTCTTTCTTTCAACTTTTTCTTACCCATTGGCGTAAGGGTCACTCTGCAAAACACCAGCTCCTTTTCCGTAACCATATCCTTTAGGACCAAACTTCTTCCCATAACATACTACAGAAAAAAATACAAGTAAATATATGTAATATTAACAAAAAGGTATACATGCGTTGGATTTTTTTATATGCAACAATAATCACAAATTGAGAGAAAGTTACAAGTAAGGGTAAGTACTTGGTTGTTCAAAACTTTTGAAGTAAACTCAATCGTTATTTAATTGTCAGGAATGATTGTAGATTTTATGAATAGAGTGAAGAAACAAACCTTTGCAGTAAATATCTCTATCGGGCCCCTCACAACAGTTGGTAGAGTCCAGACGTTTCAGGCAGTCCCCGCACTTGAAGCACTCCCTGTGCCACGCCTGGACATATAGTGAAGAGTGAAGGATTGTCACGCATGCATGGTCGAATTAATATAAAGGAACAGAATGTTATCACAATGAGAATGATGTTATTGCACAAAAACAGCTCAATGGAGGAAATTCATTATCAACCCAACCCAAATCAGTAAACCAACAGATACCTCGACAATATATCTCTTTATCTGGTCCGTCACAATGCATCATTGAATCAAGAGTCCTGTTGCAATTTAAGCATTTGAAGCATCTCCTGTGATAGCCCTAGAGTATAACAATTACATATTTAAGATTTACATAGGGCTATATTTCTCTTCGCAATAATTTATATAAAGGGTATGAAACTCCATAGGATTTTTAAACAAATTGTAACATTAAAAACAATTCTCATTTTCAGAGTAAATAGTTTTCTCTACATACATACTCTACCTGCAGTAGATAATATCAAGTAAATAATATTGTCTGGTAGAAAATGTGTCTATCAATAAATAAGAATTATTTGTAACATTATTTATTCTTACAGGAAAACCATTACTGTCAATAACTAGGTTGATCAAAATGTAAGAATAAGCATATATCACATTAAGATTAAAGCAGACCTAAACGCAACATAGTCATTGAATTTAGTGTTGGTTTCATCATTTAGAAAACGTTTAATTATAAACAGTGAATGACAATATATTATAGAACTAAACAACTCAAATAGGTACATACGAAGTTATCCAGCTGAATATGACGATACCATCTCATTCGACTGTTACTCCCTTTATAATTCTACCTACTAGTTGCGATCTGTGTAGAAACTCTATAGTACTTTGTACACAGTGACATTACTGAGAACCCCAAATATGTTTACAAATTAATTATAATTACACACTACCACTGAAATATAATTGTAACAAAGTGCAAATGTTAACATTGTAATTTTTCCTCGTATCCTTACCTACATACGATACGATTAGGCGTGTGAAATCGCAACTTTTAAGCATTTAGGTTTGTGTACCTGTGGTACCAGTGTATACAAAAATTTTGGTACATTATCTATAATAATGTACCAGTTTAATATTCGTTCTCAATATATTATTGTCATCATAAAACTGACCACACATTAACAAGTTTTTTACTAGAGATTCTATACGTACCGCGGAGAATCTCGAATTCATTATGGGTATGTAATAGGTTAATGTACATATATATTATATTACAAAACGTTACATAAGCTTCAGCAAAAGCAGTGAGTGGTTTATGAAATTTCAAATCTGTCTATAATGTGTGAATATGTTATTGGCCACTGACCTTTCCACGAGCCAACATTTGCTCCGCCGCGTAGACATAGCCACCGCAACGTGGACAGCCTTCACCTGGTGGAGCCTTGGCGATGACTCTTGGCTCTAAGCATGCTCCGTTTGTCCTTACACCCCTGTATACATAACTTATGTGATTTACTGTTCAACAGTTGTTTTCGTCGAGCAACGATGATAGAAGAGTAGTTAGAAGCCTGATAGGCCCCGGAGCACTCCGGCTGCCCCTACATAGTAACACCGGCCAAATGGATTGGCGAAGCAGCTGATGCCGGCGGCGCACCTCCGCCGTAATGGGAGAAGGTAAGGGCTCCCGGCCGCCCGCTCCGCACCGGCCTCGCTATATTACTACACAGATATCAACATAGAGGGCGCTTTCCTTATCCCATCACATATACTAACTATCGGTTAAAGCTAATACAAAAGCGTTAGCTGAGAGTTAGAGATTGTTAGTAGCGAGGAAACTTAAGAGACAGAGGGTAGTGATCGGCGCATGCCTCCTAGGTGCGTCTGGAGCGAGGCCACAAGCCGTGCTGAGGCTTTACATATTGGTTTCTCACCGTTGCTCCGCTGTTTTCGGGTCACCCCGGTCGGATGGGAGGGTTCGGTCAGGGTAGGAGCGCGCTCGAGTCGGCGTGTACCCTTACAGGCGCCACTTCGGGCCCGCGCCGGTCTCGACCGCGCTCCAACACGTTAACACAACTCAGGGTTGGAAGTCGACTCACTTTATTATTTTTTAAATTATAAATAATAGTCCGATAAACAAAATAAATTAAGCATAGCGAATAAATAACCCTATCCTAAAGTAATTAAAGTACAGTGGCGTGCGTTCACGATGCCGCTGGTTGGCCGAGATGTGTGTCGGCGACCCGCTAGCTCTGCTGCATGGCTGCTCGCGCTCAATTCCTGTTGCGACATAAACGGAGACTGATCATGCACGTGTCAGGCGGCGCATAATGTACAGCCGAGCGCGCGCTTTCTACTAAAGTATCAGTTTATGTACACGCGGTTAATGTTGTTACGTACGGGCCTGTAGGCCGGTCGTCGATGCGACCATAGATAAGGAAAGACCCTCAGTGGCGCGGGCGGCGGGAGTACGAAGAGGGTTTGGTACTTACGCGTTCTCCTGCAAGTGATCACCGGTGTCCATGGAGAGGCAGCCAGCACCACCACCGAAGCCGTAGCCTTTGGGTCCGAATTTGCGTGCGTGGCACACTTTGCAAAACAGTTCACCTTCGTGTTCTGAACAGTTGGTGGAATCCAGCAACTTCTGGCACAGTCCTAAATAAGCAAATAACGTAATTATATAGGTACTGCCATGTTTTCTAAAAAGAGTGGATATTTTCTGTTAATTTTTTTGGAGTAGGATGGATATTTCAGTCGCCAATCAATTCATTATTAAACTGTAGTTTTACAATAATAGCTCACATATAACCGTGCCTACTTAGAGATGCAAGAGTTGCACTTGAGTATAGAAGCCTTTAAACGTGCTTAGGGTCGGATAATCATTTTGATAAGTCATTACTAACGCCGTCTGATATTAAAATAGATAGCACTATTTTAATATCAGATGGCTAAACGGTAAACTTGGCTTCGTACTCCAGCATATAACCTAGAGACGGGTCTAAATATAATAATAATAATCCCTTTTAGTATAAAAAAATATATATTATAAATGCGTAATTGTATGTCTGTCTGTCCAGACCATATTCAGGATATTTTTAAGCCAATTGGTAATGAATGTGCAAGTGCATATACCACGTGCATATGCAAGTAAAGTGAAATTAATATTTATTATCTGCATTACCAAAAATCTTTTAATTAAAATTCGATTTAGAAAAAACTGATTAGCAAGGCATACCAAATGAGAACCTTGGTTAGGTTGTTATACGTAATTGTAATTAGAGTAACGGTTATGCAGATCAAGAGAAATTTCTCATCCTCTTATTTAATTATATATTTATGTTCAAATCAGTTCTCTTACAAGGTATGCAGAACGAACTGAGCACAGAAATAGAAGATTCTAGCATGAATCTCTTACTTTTAAAAGTTATGTTCAAATTTAGACTTATATTTTTATAGCTATAGGGGATATATAACAGGAATTTAATTAATAAGTACGACAAAAGCTACCTTCTGACAATTGTTCGCAAGAAAGCACCGTACCTACTCACCCTGAAACAAATTTCCGAAGTCACGAAAGGCGATATCCTAGTAAATACTCTCATACATAATTATTTCAATATCTAACTCGTTTCTTCTCTCAACATTACTACATTTTATAATTACTTTTCATATAATCGTTCTATGTATCTACATTATAGTTATTAGTTATTGTATATGAATATTATTATTGCAATTTTAAATATGATGGCAGTTAAGTACTGTATAGGTAATCTATTGTGATGTACAAGCTATAAAAGATTTTATTACTTATGCATTACATATTACATACCTGGTTGTCTGTAAAAGATTGCTTTAAGCGATAAGGCCGCCTTTTGTATGCATATCCTTGATTTTTTTATTTCCTTTTTGTAATTATTTGTTTCTTTTATGCACAATAAAGAGTTTTATTATTATTATTATTACATATTAATTACAATATGTCCGACGATGAAGGTGATTTTTGTTTCATCCATAATATTGATTTGACCTGTCTATAGATAAGTTTAGGTCTACTGCATGTTTCTAACCTATAATACCAAAACCCAAGAATAGTTCAGAAATCTCCATTTTGAATAAGATTCGAATTAATGCTCTAGGCCATAGACTTTTATTAAAATTTTATAAAACAATCAAAGTACATATGAAAATGTTTGAGATGGCCGTTTTAAAACAACATTAATAAAGAAATGTTTTATTACTGTTTACAAAATCCAGAATTTTCTTTTGCACCTATATTGACGTAAATTAATAAGTATCTAATGATGTATTAAGAATATTGATACATAATAATATTTACGTCATGTATCTAATTATAACTGTTTATAATTATTTATTGCTTATTAATTTACGACAATATTGATTATACGCTATTAGTAACTTCTAGTCATTTCCCTCTGCTTGTACTGTAAGGGACCGGATTGTGAAGACAAAGCGATATTTTAATTTAAATTACTTAGAAATTATTCAGAATATGCTTCCTATGTGCTTGTTCATTTATATATTCATTATTATTTATATTAAGAGCATCGTAGTCTGGTGGTTAACTATCTCGACTTATAAACTCCAAAGCGGTTAGTTCAAGCCCGGCCTACACAAAAAACCTCTGTGTCTATTAATATTCCTGATTAAATCTTCGTGTTTCCAACATCGATAACAACTCTAATTCACAATTCGGCGATTCAAACATACTAAACTAGGTTGGTATTTCATAATTATTTCTTAATATAGTCATACCGCACTTGAAGCACATCTTGTGCCATTTGAGTCCACCCGCAACTCGCTCTTCTGCTGCATATACGGACTTGCCGCATTTCGGACACTTCGGATTATCTGCTGGTTTGAAAGGCATTGTGCTCGCTTAACTTATCCTGAAACAATATAAAAATGAGGTCATTCCCTTTACCACTTCGATGTTAATCTACATAATAGATTTGATTTTATTCACTACGAAATTTAAATGACTTAGACGGCACTTTACAAATTGGATCAGGTATTTTGCAGATATCCAATTGTATTAAATTTGACTTCACAAAGTAATGTTGATTCTAAACTTCCACGATTAGCACTAAAGCAATCCTCCCCGTAGATCAAGTAAAGATTTGAACGTTGTCAGAATTTGTTCTAGTTATTGCACCGTTCATTGGCTGAAATCCAAGTCGCCTGCACCACTTCAAATGCATCCAAACTGACACTTATTGCTCAACAAGCACATGTAACAAACTATAAGTATGTAAACTAAGCTCCTTCAAAATCAGAGACGGTATTTGAAAACTTCTGGAATTTTATGGAAACGGGACACGGTGCGCGTGGGCGGTTTTGTCTACGCTCCTAATTTGGGGTGTTCAGGTAAAGTTACGCTGGAACGCCGCATTGCATTTCTAATAATAGTATGCATTTGAATGAAAATGGAACACACGCGGTTATGTGGATTTATGTTATGACAGTATTGCACTTTCACCAGATCACGGACCTGTTCGTCGAGTCGCTACGAGAGTCGAGCTCCCGGACGCGTATACAGTTCAGGGCGGTGATGCCGAGACTGCGGTGCGCGGAGGTCGAATGATGCGCGAGGGCAACGCGCAACCGTAGTCTATGCGCGAGTTGCACACGGCCCCAGTGGAGGGGCACCATGTGCCGCCCTCGCCACCGCCACCGCCCTCGCCCTCAACACACCCCATGCTAACTCCTTACCACCACCAGTTCATCATTCCTTCTAGCAATATGGTAAGTAAAACAAATTTCGTGTTCACAGTTTACAATATCCTTGCCAAATACTAAGCGGTCATACAAAAGAACGAAATTTATTTATTTCGTATAGATTAAAACAAAAAATATAGTAAATACACATATATAAATATTAATGTTTCAGGGAATATACATTCACAAGATTATTCATTTTGGCAGTCAGCGGCAGTCATGTTCAGCTGAATTATACTTCCAGTATATGTACCAGTATACCTATAGTTCCAAGTACTTGGAATAATGTAACTTACATTTTATGTAACTGGAATGCCAAACAAGCTGAAAATTCGATCAGATGGAAAGTGCATGAAATCACATCATTTGACTGCGCTAGTATCCCACATGATATGCTTCGCATTTCTAACGACTAATATTGCTTTACTCTGTATCCTGTAATTTCACTACCGCTATGTCTTTATCAATTCAAATAATTCATTCAATAATAGATTAGATATCTAAGAATTTAAAGTTCAAATCCTAGTCGTTCCTAGTCGAAAAGTAATAGATTTTTTCAATACTACTTTTGTGCTACGTTTGTGTTACAGCAAAGACAGTTTTATACAAAATATTGACATTATTCGTTAGTATCTAAGGCATATTCCAGGAGGCATACCTGGAATATTAAATCTATAATACTTAAATTTGGTTTATTTGGACTGAATCGACTTGATGTTGGTATGTACCGTGGTATATTATCTGATCCTGTATCATCGCCAGCAAAATTATTGTTTTCAATTTATTTATTTATACTCTTCATTGCACCATTTACAGAACAATAAAAAACAATTAAAATAGAAAATATACATCGACTGATACAAAAGGGGGTCTTACCGCTAAGCAATCTCTTCCAGACCACCTTTTGGTGGTTAGAGAAAAAAATAAGAACATATAGATATAACTGAAATATACATATATATATAAATATACTTAATAGTGCACATACATTTGGAAAGAATGAAGGAAGATTAGTTAAGAGAATAATAAGAAATTAAAGGGAAAGAAAATTGGATTTGATAGAGGCATTACATTTTCAATGTACAGTGGAAGATAAGATTAGTAATAAGATACGATGGGACTGGCATTATCATATTAGGTATGATAAAAGCCCCTAAATAATTGTAAGAATAAAAAATACCTAAATTATATAGAAAAAGTATCTTGACGACTGACATTAAATCATAGCATGGTTTGTAAATAATTAAGTAGTGATTAGTGGACACACGCACAGAATCCTTGCATTTGTCTTCATATAGTGAGACTAAAGCTTATATTAAATTTAAACTTCTTAAATCTAATACATTATTAATGTTTTATATAAGTCATATATGGGGAAACATATGACTTATATAAATATGACCATCCAGAACATCTAATTGATGGTAAGCGTTGTTACTAACCGCTGTGTGGGGGCTGAAATAGGTGAGATAAATATTCCCACGTTGACGACTTTGTAGAAAGTGTACCTCAGTGTGCAAAATCATTTTATGTTATGTCTATATCGAGAGCTATTAGTCAGTCGTATCAAAAGATCAGTCTGTCTCTAATACCACCACATGTACGGATGAATACACACCCAGAATACCAAGGTTCAGTAAATATATTTTTATTAGAGGTGGAAACGAAGCCGGTATTGAATTTATGCGAAGCACCATGCCTTCTGCATTATTAAGGTCGTTGTATAGACAAGACCAAATACACAATGTTCTGACAGCTCAAAGAGCGACATTCTATATTCGTCTCCTAATGATTAAAATAAAATAAGAAATCATGAATCATAACTCTGGCAAGTTGTATCCATATGTAATTCGGCAATGAATAAGGAACACACTACGAAAAATCTCTATAAGTAGTTGTAACTACAAGTAGCTTGTCTATAAATCACGTCGCGCGAACAGATGTTTATTCTAGCTATTCAAAACTTTATCATACTTTATTCTTACATGAGTGCCCAAAACTGGAAACGTGACATAGCAGTGGTATATTGTTTTTAAAGTAATTAACCCTGGATAAATCACGTGAATCATTCTCACTTAAGCGGTTAAAGTTTAATTAATTTACCTTTTTCAATATTGCAATGATGATATCAAAAATTTCCACTGACTGTTTCCATGAAACAAATATTAGTTTGTTTCATAGAATGTATCTACTTTATATGTAGAAAATACAAATAGAGAGATATAAAAGAATTACCTTAATTTTTACCATTTTTATAACTTGTAATTTTAAAATAACTACAAATCTAAAAGCTTACAGTTTTTTTGTACTGACTATTTTTTATGAATTTAGAAATTTATTTATGGAAGCGGTGACAATGCTACAAGAGATTACAATTATCAAGATAAAAATAACTGAAACATATTCTTTAATACGTTTACAATTAGTCCAGCACATGTCACATCATAGAGACACTGTTTGCCAACTTGCGCACACCTGCTTATCTATTAATATTTTTACAAAAATAGCTTTACTGTTTTAATAAGAAAGGTAAAATTATTTAGGATTAGAGACTAATTGAATCATCTATTAATTGATATCATTAAAATATATTTTTTATAAAGACGTTACATCTAATTTTGATGCTAACGAGTATTTTATATACTATATAGCATACTACTATACATTTACATACTACTATAGCATTAGAATTGCATTAATGAATCAAGAATACCCGGTTACCTACGAGTATTTGCAAGTAAAGTTATGATCTAATATATAAAATTCTCGTGTAACAGTTTTTTTGACAAAATTTGAACGATTCTTATGTATTTTGGTGTAGGTAGATAGGTAATTCAGTAGATCTGAGAATAGAACGGAAACTATTTTTCATACCCTTTAGTGATAAAAGTAGTTTTTTCGAACCCATTTTTTTGTTTTGGCATTAAAAAGTACATACGTATAATTCTAAGTATTCATTCTCCTAACTAACCCGATACCGATACCGATATTAGTACTTTATAATTTTCTACTCGGCGGTCGTTAACTGATTAATTTATATAACAATATAAATTAATCAGTTATCGACTATTATTAGAATACAATGTTCGTTTTTTAGGCTTGATTTATGCTTGCTTTATTGATGTTGTATAACCATGTATGCCACACCTACCTAGATATACTACATAGACAGATCTAAAGGCTTTAATTTCCCTTTCTCAACAAAATAAAGCATAATACAATACAACAATTGTTTCATCATAGTAGTCCTAGAGCTCTTAAATATTATATTAGCCTATCAGAGTGTGGCATAGTAACCGTAATCTTTTTTTAGACATCTTAGGTTCCAGTGCAAAATTTCATCCGCGTTTTAACATTGAATCTGAACAAATGGTTATTAATTTTTAGTAAATAAGTAGTAGAAGACGCAAAAATTCATCAAAATGAAATATTTTCGTATATATATTTATCATTTTCCACTTATACATTTAATGATTCTGTACCTAAGTTAATACCAAGTATTAAGTAAAATTATTACTTGATTATGTTTTTTGCCGATGTACCCGTCATCAAGTGCCATAAAAGATATAGTGTCATTACGAAGTAGGTTATATCGTTCTATGTCTAGGTCAATTTCCTTGTAGGCACATCTAAACCGTAAGATAAAACACGGACCATATGCTTGCATTAGTTTAATCATAAAAATGTTAACATTTTAGATAGGTATGATTTGGTGTAGGGTACGGTAGGGAAAAAAAAAATTATAATGTAAAACTTGACGTTCATAAGCGGCTAAAATGTCCTACATGAATAAATGAATTTGTAGAATGTAACTAACATAATTTATATGACCTTTAATTAACATGTCTTATTGTATGTCACGAACTAAAAAACCTGTATGCTCGTTATTCTTAGGTCACGACCATAGGTACGTTAAAAATCTACTTTTACCTCTAAAATATATATACAATCCACAGAGACACATACAAATACTACTTGCACAAATGTATGCACTATGTGTACATATAGTTAGGTACTTGTCATGTGACCTTTTCTTCTATTTGTTATCGGAAGTCCCTATGACCGTGACAATAATAGAAGAAAAATCACGCTATCTACATTATAGTTATTTTTATAATTAGATATTTTTTTCATTTGAATAATGGAAGCATCACTATGTATAATTCCTTTTTATCATACATGACATTTAATTTATACCCGTGAAATCGTCCTTAAAAATGTCCCACGTCAAAAACCGCTTGCACGCTGGCACGCATTCAAACTTGTCCATATCTCTCGATCTCGCTGCTTTGTACTGTGCGATACTTCACAGAGTAAAAGTAAACACCTGTCAAACTAATTACATACCACATGTATTATAATTTTAACATTTTTTATACAACCTACTGGGGAACAACTATGAACCGGCCCATCAGATTGTATAAATATCGACATAATTATGTACATGATAACATATTTATTATTATCACAGGATAAATTATGTTTCTGAACTGTCTATGTTACACTTCACGTGTTGCCAGTTCTCACTCTTGATCGATAGAAATATCGTTGGGTTTTTATGCCTTTCAGATGGCTACATAACAAAATAGAACAGATTGCTGCTTTATGATATAAAAATTGTTTACACTGTAGTGGTTTTTTATGTAATATAAATGGCAAAGAAGTTAACGACTCACCGGATGGTAATGATGCGGTACTACTCATGCATTGCCATTCCGGAGGACTAAAATGTTCTGCCTCAATATCCTGTTATTTCACAATTACGTACTAGTTCTGTATTTGTTTGAACTTAAGTTTGTCTCTGTCTTAACTCATGTGAACTACTTATTTAAAAAATGGTATTTCCCCTCACATAGACATAAATACGCAATATATTTTATAT